GAGGCTGTCGAGGTCCTGAACCGGTGCCTGGCCGCTGTAACGGTCTGGATGAGGGCGAACAAACTGAAATTAAATCCAGACAAGACAGAGGTACTCCTGGTCAGTCGCAAGGCCGAACAGGGTATAGGGTTACAGCCTGTGCTGGACGGGGTCGCACTCCCCTTGAAGGCGCAGGTTCGCAGCTTGGGTGTGACCCTGGATTCATCTTTGAGCCTGGATCCCCAGGTTTCAGGGGTGACCAGGGGAGCATTTGCACAGCTTCGGCTCGTGCGCCAGCTGCGCCCGTATCTTGGGAAGTCTGACTTGGCCACGGTGGTACACGCTCTGGTCACATCCCGCCTTGACTACTGCAACGCTCTCTACGTGGGGCTGCCCTTGAAGACGGCCCGGAAGCTTCAGCTGGTTCAGCGCGCGGCAGCCATGTTACTAACTGGAGCGGGATACAGGGAGCACACAACGCCCTTGTTGTCCCAGCTCCACTGGCTGCCGATTTGCTACCGGGCCCAATTTAAGGTGCTGGTTCTGGCCTACAAAGCCCTAAACGGCTCCGGCCCAAAATACCTTTCAGACCGCATCTTGGCCTATGAGCCCACGAGGACCTTGAGATCGTCTGGGGAGGCCCTTCTCTCGATCCCGCCTGCCTCACAGGCACGTTTGGCGGGGACGAGAGAGAGGGCCTTCTCGGTGGTGGCCCCCCGGCTGTGGAACACTCTCCCTGCAGACATCAGACAGGCGCCCTCCCTTATGTCCTTCCGAAAAAGCCTTAAGACATGGCTGTTCGAGAAGGCATTTAATTAAGTGCTATAATAATGTGGTAAAGATGACTGGAATGGAACAAGGAATATGAGATTGGTTACGATTCTACTATGAGACGAAGCGGATTATGTAGTGTAATTTTATAATTGTTGTATTTGCTAATATGTTGTTTTGTAATTGCCTTTTGTAAATTGCCTTTTTATATGTTTGTACACCGCCATGAGTCGCCCTAGGGGCTGAGAATGGCGGTTAACAAATGCACCAAATAAATAAATAAATAAATAATAAATAAAATTAACAGTCGTGTCTATGGGTTGGTGTTTATCCAGTGCAGCAACACATGGTGTCACCTCATGGATCTTCTTCCATAATAGATCATATCACAATTTTGTAGCTAAAATACCAAAAAATTAAACAAAATTAATGACTATAAAATAAAAATCAGCAACAAATACATCAATAAATGCTTAAAATGCATGCAAAAGCAAGTGATTTGAAGCATCATTGTCATTGGGTGATAGTAACAGCACTGAGCAGAGCATTAGAGCATATGCATTAGAACAATCAAAAAAGAAATTCACCTAGTGTATTGGTCTTATAGGTACATACAATACATGTAAACCGGGCTTACAAAAATATTTTTGTAATTAAATCTAACTGGGATATTTTATTAAACATTAAAAATATTCTGCTAAAATACAATATATTTTGGTGCCATCCTCTGGGATACTGTCTCCTGGTGTAGGTTTACACCCCCTACACCCCTCTAGTGATGCTACCGAACATTAAATGTCAGAAGAGGTTGGGGAGAGATTGAACTAAAATAAGAAAGTCTAGAACAAACAAAAAGGAATGCTCAGCATGGAACCTCTAAATGGTCATTCCAGCTACTTAGACATATTGCATAGTTTTGATATAGTAACAAAATTGGCACAGATATTGAATTGTCACTAGGAAACAGAAAATGGAATTCCATTAGGAGTTCAGGGCCCCCCGGTGGCGCAGTGGGTTAAAGCACTGAGCTGCTGAACTTGTTGATCGAAAGGTCACAGGTTCAAATCTGGGGAGCGGCGTAAGCTTCCGCTGTCAGCCCCAGCTTCTGCCAACCTAGCAGTTTGAAAACATGCAAATGTGAGTAGATCAATAGGCACCACTCCAGCAAGAAGGTAACGGCGCTCCATGCAGTCATGCTGGGCACATGACCTTGGAGGTGTCTACGGACAATGCTGGCTCTTCAGTTTCGAAATGGAGATGAGCACCACACCCCAGAGTCGGACACGACTGGACTTAATGTCAGGGGAAAACCTTTACCTTTACCTTTTTACTAGGAGTTCTAGTGGTAAACTAATGGTAGCATGTTCCACCATGCTAAAACATTTGATAATCATGTTGTAAAAGCACAATCAATATTTAAAAGTCACTATCTTAAGCTGGCTGTCTTGAGAGAAAAAGGTTTCATTATCCAAACAAATAATTGCACATTCTTTCAATTTGTACGTGTTCTCTGATAACTATGGGTTGTTCAGAGGTCACAGTGTTTCTCTACGAAACTGTGAATTCCTTTCAATAGAAACACTAAGATTGGTGTGGCTGTCATTTATGCAGGTAAATATCTAGAGAGTCTTCCTTCCAGTGACCACCCTTGCCAGGGGCTATAATGCATTAAGAATTCCAGGAGCTGTAGCCCCCAAAAGTAACTTTACCATGCTTTGCATTTATTCCTGGAAGAAAATGGATCAAGAGCCCAAGATCTTACATAGTTGTCAACTCTTTCAAGCTACAACTTCATCTCAAAAACAAATATAAGAGGTTTGTGGGAAGGATTCTTTGATAATAGATGAAAGTGCTGTACATAAAAATCACAGCTCTCTTCATTTATTTAGAGCAGATTTCTTCAACTGTTTCTTTTAGTTCAAATGCTTTAGGTTCTTTGAAGTCACTTTCAAGTCAGACCAACCTCCTTGAAAACACACTGCAGAATAACGACAAGCCTGGTATGACGATGAAGTGACTTGAAACCATGATTCAAGTAGCAAATATGGGGTGTAGCTTTGAGGAAGTAGATTTTAAATTAAATAACTGGTTTTTAAATATTTCTTCTCAACGAAAAGCATCTCCAAAATCAAATTAATTAATTTAGGATTAAGAACTGTATACTGCAAATATGCCTTCTGTTTCTACTCTTTGTAGGAGTCTCTTCAGTAACTATTCTGCCCAATTAACTTGCTGCTGCCATTCAGCAAAAAGGGGAACCTACAAATGTGATTCATGCAATATTTTAGGGTTGAAGAAATTTAAAATTAGAACAATTGATCACTACTCTAGAAGTCATGCTGGTTGGATGATTTGGGGGGGGAGGGGGGGTGGCATCCAAAACAGTTTCATTTCCAAGGTATGCATGTGTTTTTTTTAGTATAAAAAGAACAATTCCTGCATAAATTTAGTAATTCTGGTTCAAGTCAGTGTGATTGTTCCCATTTTGCAGAAAGGATATGCGTAGGTGGCGAAGTACAGTGATTGTTACAATTTGTTAGGCAATTCCTGAAGCCTGAAGCCAAACTCCAAACTCTGCCATTCCCATTCCTGAGAAAGCTTATCTCTTGCATTTCTTAAAGGCCCCCAAGCTCTGTGATGAGAAACTGGTAAATGGTTTTAGGGGCTGCATAAAATACATTGGGCTGCGAGGTGTGGCCCTCTGTATTGCCTTCAAAGAAGAAAAGAAAGCTCAACCTTGTGTTTACAATCTATACAGCTACTCATTGGGGAATCCGTGATGTGGAGGCTGGTCAACAATGTAACAGACCATAATATTATTTGCACATTAATTGGGTTGAGTGAAATAGGATAGGTTAACCAATACCACCAGAAAGTATGGAATTAGATTTAAACCCAAATGAAGCTGGTTATTTTCACTAAAAATATAAAGTAAAGATAAGGATCAGGTGAGAGAAGGGTTTTGGACAGGTTTGTTGACAACTCTCTAGTGTCAGGCAATGGAAAGTTATAATTTGTCACAGCATTCCAGATTTGTTCTGCCAAGATAAACATACACACTACAGAGCTATAGACTTGCTCAAAAACAGAACCCATTAACAAGCAATATCTTCTACTTTATAATAAGTTTTGTTTGATCTTTCCTGAACTACTGGCATATAAGAGCAGACCTCTTATTAGTAAGAATGAGACAAATTGCCTCTGGTAACCTGTGTTGAGGGGCAGCAGTGGCTGTTCCCCCATCTTCTCTTCTGTGCTTTATTCTCCTGGTTCTGGAAGACTGAGGTCTGAATGCCCCACAGCCTGTCCTGTGTGCATCTGGAAAAAATGCCTCTATGCTCCCATACTCCCTCTCCCCTTATATCAATGTACTGATTGACAAATAGCAACCTAGGGCTACATGGAGTTCCAAAGTTGTTTCTGCACTCATTGATCAGACTCCCTTTCTCTGACCATAAGAAAAAGATGACATGCCTCTATTGATGTCTCCAGGATTGGCAATCCATCATTTAAACAGACAGCACTGTTTTGTTTTTAAGTCCCTATTTTCCAAAACCAGAAGTTGACTTCTGACTGCTCTGTCCTCTTTGTTATCCCTGGACAGTCTCAAGAAAAAAAACTCAGTCCTTGCATCTCCTTCAGATGGCCACCTGCTTACCAAGAGAATTCTAGCCTCAGTACCTGCCTGGTCATTAGAGCCTAAAAATATATGCATTGGGGTACATCTTGTTCCAAAGTAGATAAAATGGATTGCTTCTAGAGGTTCGATAATGATTCTATGAATGATGCCCCATTCACCATTTTAATTGGGCTCCTATAAGTTCTCAGTGACTTCTAAGCTTTGCAGAAAGAACTGCAACAAACACACCATTCCTACTTATGCTGACCATTGCTTCCATTTTAACTTAACACACTTGGGACTGCATCTCCTAAGGGTTGTCCCATCAAAATCTGTGCAATTTCTGTGTATAAAGACACTTAGGGCTGCACTGTTAGTTCTTAAGTCATGATACAGGTAGTACATGCTTGATTGCAGAGGCTAATCGTTTTTAAAAACATATTGTGCAGTCAGTAATCACCATTCGCTGCAGGAAACGTGCTTCTAACTGAACAGGTTTGGGTGGCCCTGGAGGCCAGACAAGAAAAATAGCCGAGAAGGGTTATTTAGTATCAAGGACTCCACCCTCTCCCTATGCCTCTACCTAATGTTTGTACAGCTTCAGAAGGAAGATTGCTTAAGGAAAAGCAAGGCAGCTGTTGGCCACTGGGGAAGATTCTTGCAGGTAGCAGCACCTGTTGATGAACAGCTCCAAGAGGGCTTAGCTGTGCCAGGATCTCACCTGAAAAGGAAGCATAAGGCAAGCTCATCTTTTTTTATTCCAAATAATTATTTGCATTTTGGATTAGCATCTCTGCCTGATCAAAATAATTCTCTCAGGCTTCTGCTTATGGGATGAGTGTTGTTTTTCTTTCAAAATTTCTGCCACGAGCCAGTTAGAAAGCTTTGTATGCTGAGCCTTAGCATGAGTTTGTGCCAGCTTCTTGAGTTGCAGAACAAAGCATGGTTTTGTCTGCTTGCCAACGTGGCTAGCGTATCTATTATTTCCTCTTGGTGAAGCCTTGAGTCTTAGGGCTCAATTGGTGTTGTTGCTCTTCTAGATCTGTGAAAAGATATCTAAGGATAATGAGAGGTAGCAGTTTAGCTGCACAAAATATAAAGGCTAGCGAAGATATTCCTTCAAAAGGGAGACAAGGATCCTAGGGCGCAATGATCAGCTCAGTGCAGTTTCTAAAGGGAGTGGTTTACTACTTAACAACCCTTTAAATTTGCTTTAGCTCAGAGTTGGTCATGACTCCACAATCACTCTGTGAAATGAAACAAGTCCAGAAATCTACAGTCTCATTGCACATTCTTTACTAGTTTGTTCTATGAGTAAAATGAAACAATGGGTTATGTATGAATTGCTTTAAAAAAACTCCGATGAGATAAGTATTTAATGCTAAACTGGGGCATAGTATAAAAGTGGCCTGCGTGATTCTTGTAAAGTTTTTTTAAAAAAAACAATTAAAATGCAGAGCAGGCATTGACGAGCATTTCTATGACATTTCAAGTTATGAACAGCATCGCAAAATCCAAGAAGAGGGAAGAGTCCAGAATTATTTGTTGCTTTTTTCCCTTCTTGTCTCCCTCTCTGTACCCTGACTCTTAACATTACAAAATAAATACTAATATCAGTCTTTTATATGGCTTCCTGTTTTAAATAGGACCAGCATCTTTAAGCCTTTGAACAATGATTGAAGTTAGGTACACATTTCCTCTACTAATGACCACAACATTGTCACGTTCTTTGCTTTGGACAACCATTTGCAAGAACCATCTCTTTCTATATATTTCTGCTTCTGCCTCATTGTATCTTTACTGCCATATAGTCCAGTTTATCAGGTAGCCCTTCATGATTAGATTTTTGTGTAGTTCCAAATAGAAAAAAATGCTATAGACCTGGCACCTGTTTTCTTTGCTTTTCAGCGCTAGGCCTTTTTAGCTTACTATTAATCTTTAGCTTACTATTAACAAGTAACAATATCATTAATGCTGCATCTCAACATTGTTCTCTGAGTTTTCGTGGATGAAATGCATCTCCTGCTTTCAATTTCTTTCTTTGTTTTGCTTTCAGGTGATGCATTTGCTTTTATAACTAGTATAATGTATGCTTTCATTATGGATGTGTAGCCCTGAGAGTTTTGACTACAGTGCATCTCATAAACTGTACATGGGTCTTCAATTTGCCTGCCCACATGGTGATCCTGCAAAGTCCATGGGATTTTCTTAGACAAGGAATGCTCACAGGAGGGTTTACCAGCTCATTTTTCTCAAATACAGCCCACAAAATCTAATATTTATTGGCAATTTCTCATCCACATATTAACCAGGGTTGACCCTGCTTAATCTCCAAGATCAGATGGGATTTTGTGCCTTCAGGGTATAGTTTTTATAAATACTCCATATCTAAAGGGGTGCAAGACATCATTATAACATCACATTCAGGAAGGTTATTTGAACATTATTGCTATAAGAAAGCAACATTTATAGAGCCAGAAGGAGTGGGAAAAAATTGCCCAATTAGTGTAACTAATCTTGTTTGCTGTTTACTTTTGGGAGGGACTTAAAGACATTCTGAGGTATTCTGATAGGGATTTTTCAGTTTGGTGCCATTTCTTATTAATCTTACAGGTTTCTTGTTATTATAGTCCAGAAAATAACAAAAAGGCCACATGTAAATAAAAGTGACCTGCCTAAATCTTATTGGTTATTTATTTGAGTTCTATGCCATTTAAAATATTGACAGTAACGTTTTGAAATGATTAAAATGTAAAAACAATTAAAATAAATTCATTAAGCATTATACAAATTAAAAAATAACATGTTTAATATAAGAAAACATCCTCGATAAAATATACCACACCCTCCATTGATATTTTTGAACGCTTGCTTGAATAAGTTGTTTAGTCCCAACTACAGTAGATTCATTGCTTGATTGTTTCATAGTGAGTCAACAAGCAAGTAAATTCCATTGATTCAATAGGTCTAATCTATTTGGGGTTAACAATGGGATGTATGCTAAATAATTGCTTTTCTAACATAGTAGTAAATGAGAACAAATGCCTTTTCAATCCCTTATAATTTGTACTGAGAATGAATAAAATGTTTGAACAAATATTTCCAGGTTTCAGGAGAGGAAGTACTTAACCCTTCTCACCACTAGCTATTTTTCTGCTCCGAGTCATCCTCTCTAACCTGCTTTTTCTTTCCCTGATGTTTTAAGTGCCGGTTTCCCTGCTGAACGTAATGGGGGAATCCATGCTTGAAGGATATTTAAATGAAGGGCTCAAGCAATCTGGAGGCTCGTCTTCCAGGCCAAGTGGAAGGTGTAAGGCTTTAAATACCACATGAGCTCAGCTGTGTGTCTGTTTGAATTGTTCAAGGGTGGTTCTTGTTTACCTTGAGTGACTAATTCTTGTTCCTTCCCTTCTGTTGGCACTGGAGCAAACAGCTCTTAGCTCTGTGTTAAGAATTTGCCCTCCAGATCCAAACTGAGCAAACTGTTGGTGTCATACTTTTCTTGAGATCAGGCATGTCAACAGCAAAAATGTCAAAGGAGCATTTCTGAAGATTGTCCTCAGCCTGTTTTCTTCTCTCCTCAAAGGGGCACAAAGGTGGTGTCCATTCCTGAGTTTACTGCTGGCTGTGTAGCCGGATGTTTACTTAACAGCAGGTAGTCCCGTGTTTGAAATTGTTTGTTCAACATATTTTCCCCTTGCCATATTTAAAATACAGGTTAGCATCAACTACTTCTGTATTCTGATTTTCAATCCACTCTGGATTTGGCAATTATGCTTCCATGTCCTTGTAGTATATTAAGACTGATAGTACAAGACTGCCCAATGCTAAAGTAGCTTTGGCTCCTGACTGCTATCTCTCTCTCTCTATCATCATCTGGGAAACATCCTTGCAGATGACCAATTCTCTCACACCAGAAGCAACTTGTAGTTTCTCAAGTGTGTGTGTGTGACACTGACACACACAAATCATAGAAGTGGAAGCCGGAGTCTGTGGTTTGGATACAGATAACAGAGGCTAGAGCAGTGGTTCTCAACCTGTGGGTCCCCAGATGTTTTGGCCAACAACTCCCAGAAGTCTCAGCCAGTTTACCAACTGTTAGGATTTCTGGGAGTTGAAGGCCAAAACATCTGGGGACCCACAGGTTGAGAACCACTGGGCTAGAGTCTGAACGGCAGAGGTTTTCCCAGATCATGAATGTATGACTTTCCCATTGGAGATTTGTAGTCATAGCACTGCTGTGGTAAATCTAATTTTATTCTGAACTGTAGGGGAACTATCCAACATAAGAAAACCTGTCTATGCTGCCCAGTAAATCTGTTTTCAGTCTGAAGCAGAAATTGCTACTGCAATGGAGATACATTGCATTTTGTATTAATTATAATAATTATTTATTAAACTATTATTTATATCCCACCTTCTATCATGAGATCTCCTGGGGGACATACAATTAAAACAATATGAACAATTTAAAACAAGTCCAGATAAAAACAATTAAATAGGACAAAAATCTATTCAATGAAACATTCACAGTGTTGGCATGTGAGAGAATATAAATGTGTGTGTGAGAGAGAAAGGGAGTGGTAGGAGAGCGAGAAATTGTGTTTGCTTTTCCCCATGATGCATGTATTGAATATATGTTTACTTGTAAGAAATGGCTCCATTCTACTCAATTTGAGTTCTGATGTTGACCCATTTTCCCAGAAGGCAAGAGAAACTCTGTAGGTAAAATGTTCTTGCTTTTACATGTGGGTCTGTCTCAAATTAGTTGGAGGGAGCAGTTATTACATCTGGTACTTTGGCATAAAGAGAGTGTACACTCAGTGGGTTGCTGTGAGTTTTCCAGGCTGTATGGCCATGTTCCAGAAGCATTCTCCCATACAGCCTGGAAAACTTACAGTAACCCAGTGATTCCGGCCATGAAACCTTCAACAACACATTGTGCATTCAGTGCTTTCCACAAATACCTTGCTCTTTGTCATACTGAGAAATCAGTTGAAGTGTTACAATGGTTTGTATCTGGCAAATACCCCTTGGAACCTGCTTTCTCTTTTTAAACTGGTTAGACAACATTCCCAGCTAACAATTAAAAGCCTGTTAAAAATCTGGAGTTTGATGGACCAATACGTGCATGCAGCTTTCCCAGAAACTTTCCATTATGATACTCTAAACTGACAGATGATTGCATAATGTCCAGAAACACAACTGTATTCACAGTTTATTCACCCCTGTGTACATAGTACCTGCAGTTTCACATTCCCACCTTGAACAAGAATTCTCAGTCCTCCAGGTGATTCTATGACAGGCCTGCACAACTGCAGTAGTAAAATAGGCCAAAGTTCTTAGGACCCAAGATAGGATTTTAGTGTGTCACTCAAGGTTTGCAAGAGGATGCCTTTCCCTCAGTGTAAGCAGCAAAGTTGAATAATCTCATTATCCCCTCTTCCCCTCAGCGTGGAGGTGAGTTGCAGTCCTTTTGTGAGGGAAAGAAGTGCCTCGGTTCTTGACTCTACACCTCTTTCTTTCTCTTTGCCTCAGTTGTCTCTTTTTCCTTTGAAGGGAAAAACCACCAACTCTGCACCATTCATTTTCCTCACTTGTGAAAGAGAAACTTAGCTTTGCCATTAAGATCTACTTCATGGTGAAGTCAAATTTTTCACTCCTAGGACCTCTTCACACAGCCCTTTTGGACTGTGCGATTGCACTGGCAATCACCTGTGATGCCCCATGCACCCTCCCTCCTCTCCTCATCACAGGATGGGGATGGGAGAGGATGTTTTGGCACCCTTTCCCTCCCTCCATCAGATGGCAGAAAGGGCAGCAATGCATGGCAACATGTGTTGCTCTGCCACCCTTTCTGCCATCACATGGCGAAAAGGTGAGGAAAGTGCAGGTAGCTCCATCGGAGCAACCCAAACTACACTTTCCTCTCCAATTTGGGAGGAATGTGGGTGGGGCCTGCTATGCGTCCTGTAATGACGCATGGCAGGCCCAGTCCCTGCCACACATAAAAGTAACAAAATGGAGCAAAAATGACCTGTGTGAAGAGTTCCATAGACAAGGGAAATGAACAGCATGGTTTTGCCGATTGATTAGAAAGAGATGTCAGAGGCAAAGAGAAAGATGAGCAGCAGGGGTGAGAACTGAGGCACATCTTTACCACCTCCCTCTAAAACAGCCAACTGAATATTAAATTTTAGCATAATCTCGAGCCCAATGAAAAAAAGAAAAAAAATAAGAAAAGGTTGACACTTCTCAAAATGTCATCCCTGCTCCCCTCTACTGTAACTCCTCAGGCCTCATTTCGAACCAAGACCAACATCGTACTCAGAGTTCATAAAGGCAAGCCAGATTGTCAAGGGTTCAATTAAAATCCAATTCCATAAGTCAAAGCCAGGTAGGATGTCCAAGATTCAGATTCCAGGGTTCCAAGGTACAGCCAAGATCCATAGTTCAACAAAGCATACAACAAGATTTCAGGAAAAAAAAATCTGGGCATCAAGATCCAGACAACTTGAGAGAAAACAGCCAACACCTATGTCCTAATAAAGTGGTTCTTAACCTGTGGGTCCCCAGATGTTTTGGTCTTCAACTCCCAGAAATCCTAACAGCTGGTATACTGACAGGTATTTCTGCGAGTTGTAGGCCAAAACACCTGAAACCCACAGGTTGAGAACCACTGTCCTAATACAAAAGATACTTTTCTCCCAAAGAGCAGTCGCTAGCAAAGCTCTTTTATGCAGTTGAGCACAGCTGCATCCTATTTCAGCAGGCCTCCCCAATAATCACTCCAGGCTGTGAATTCTTACTAGGAAAGCCACTCTGACCTTTTACAAACAGGAGGGAGATTAATTCCTTCCAAATATTACACAGAAGTTAAACTACATCACCAAAACTGCTGGGCATGACAGGTGTCCCCTTTGCTACAAGTCAGTTTCACAACTTTGGTGCATAGAGAAAGGAAATGTGTAGTGGGAAAACACCTGAAAGAGGGAATTGTGGGTTACAATTGCTACTCTGCTGTAGCGCTGCATGTAACCTTCCTCTCTAAATCCCAGTGGGATGCACTAAATCATTGAAAGGGCTGTATTCGGCCCCTGGGCTGCATGTTGTGCAGGCCTGTTCTGTGATGTGCTTCCACCAAAAGTTCCTACAAAAGTTGCCCTGGGGACCTAGAAAATTCCTAGAGAGAATACATTTCTAATTTTTAGGTTCTCCAGCATGAAGTCATTCATTCCAAACAGGCTTGCTATTATCCATAGTTTTTTTAAATTTATTTCTATGGTAAGTTAATAAATATGTCCTCCACAGATAACAGGGCGGTATCTTGCCTCTATTAACTGAGCATGCATCAGAAGAAAAATAGTTGAAGCATACCTTCTTATATCCCCATACCAAAAAAGGGAAATGCTAAAAACTCCTCAAACTTTTGTACAGTGGCACTTATTTCTCATGCTAGTAAGGTAATGCTCAAGATCCTGCAAGGAAGACTCCAGCAATACATGGAGAGAGAGAGTTGCCAGATGTACAAGCAGAGGAACAAGAGACCAAATTGCCAATATCCGCTGGATAATGGAGAAAGGCAGGGAGTTTTAATACCTTAGTTTTTTTCTCCTTCTCACACTGTTCTTAGGTTACTTCATACCAGAAGTGACTTGAGTTTCTCAAGTCACTCCTGACATTAAAAAAAACTTGTTTTCTGTGATCCATACAGATTTAAGAAATGAACAGAATTGTTCATTGCAGCAGAAGGCATTCATACTGGGCAATTTGTTTATTATGGCAAGAAAGCTCAACTCAACATTGGCAATGTCTTGCCTGTTGGTACTATGCCCGAAGGCACCATTTTCTGCTGCTTTGAAGAGAAGCTTGGAGATTGTGGCAAACCAGTGAATGCTTCTAGAAACTATGCCACAGTTATCTCCCACAATCCTGAAACAAAACACAAAAAACCAGAGTGAAACTGCCTTCTGGTTCCAAGAAGGTGATCTCCTCTGCAAACAGAGCAGTTGTTGGTATTTTTGCTGGTGGTGGCTGTATTGACAAGCCAATCTTCAAAGCTAGATGTGCATACCACAAATACAAGGCAAAGAGGAACTGCTGGCCATGTGTCTGTAGTGTAGCTATGAACCCTGTTGAACTACCAGCATATTGGCAAGCTTCAACCATCAGGAGGGATGCTCCAGCTGGTTGCAAGGTCAATCTCATTGCAGTCCGGCGTACTGGCAGACTGCATGGAACCAAGACTGTCCAGGAGAAGGAGAATTAAACCTCCAGTTCAATAGATTCATATTGAAATAAATGTCATCTTTTGTGTAAAAAAACCTTTTTGTTTTTTTTTGTTTACAAGAAACAAAAACTTTTTCCAAACTGAGGGCCCTTCCACACAGCCATATAACTCAGAATATCAAGGCAGAAAATCTCACAATATCTGCTTTGAACTGGGTTATCTTAGTCCACACTGCCATATATTCCAGTTCAAAGCAGAAAAGGTGGGATTTCATTTAGCCTTGTGGAAGGGGCCTTAATCCAAAGTGCAGAGGTAACTTACATTTAACAAATTCAGTAGAGGGGACAGAAGAAGAGGCAAAATCTTACTTTTCCCTGTAGACGCAAGCAAAGCAAATAGATGTACTTTCTCCTGGCTTGTGTGTTATTTCTTATTAATAACTTTTGCCATCTTGACCATCCTTTATTATTGCTTAGATACACGTGTCTTGGTTTTCTTTTGTGAAATGTCAAAAGATGAGAACAAATTTTAGGAGTAATTGCAGTACCATACCTGTGCTTCAATTCTGTGAGTAGACTACAATTGTTCAAGCATTACCAAAAAAGTGACTGGAAGAGAATCCAAGTTTCTATGTATATATTGTTGTGGACAGATACGCCTTTAAAAATAATGTGTCCTTTAAACGATCCTATGTGTTCTAAACTTTAATTTTGTATTTTCTCAGATAGAGCTGCCATTATGGGAAACTCTTTCTCTTTGGAAATGGAGCCAGAAGACCAAGAACCTGTTCATGGAACAACATATTCCCCAGTAAGGTTTAGCAGAAATATTCCTGCTGTTTTACTTTCATCATTGACCTATCTAAAATGTCAATTGTATTTAAAATACACAATGTGCATTTAGAAGTGTAATGTAAAACTTGCTAAAATTAAAGAAGCTAGTTGAATTAATGAGCTTACAACTAGTACATAGCTTTTATATTTGCATTTGTACTTGTATTTGGTATTTTAATATGTAAACAGCATGGATTTGACTTTTCTGCACCTATGTTTTTTTTAAGACACTGCTTGCTCTTTAAATTTGATTATGTATTTATTCAGTCTAGTTATTACTTTTCTCCCCAACATGAGACTCAAGGTGGCACATTAATAGCCACTAGGAATGCTGGATGGGAGAAAATGGGAGTTGTCATTCAACCTGCTAGCCATCATAGTTCATGCCTGGAAAATTCTCACTGAGGCCCCTTCTATATTGCCATATAAAATCCAGATTACCTGCTTTGAACTGGCTTATATGGCAGTGTGGATTCATCTAATCTAGTTCAAAGCAGATAATGTAGATTATCTGTTTTGATAATCTGGATTATATGACAATGTAGAAGGCACCTGAGAATGCTATAATGTGCTCCTCTTGGGGTTGCCTTTGAAGATGATATACAGTGGGTCCTACATTTTTGGTATGATTTGTAGCTCAGAACCCTAGCAAAAGGGAAACGTTTCATTTTTTTAAATAACCCTTTTAATGCAAGAAAACACATTTTCTGGAATTTCTAGGTTTTTCAGCACAACATTGTGGTCACTCTCCACTGGAAGTTGACCATACTAGGTCTTGGAATACAACTTTATGGTCAGGCTCCACTGGAGTTGACTATAGAGTTATGCTGGAAAACCTAAACATTCCTAGTGAGAACATATTGATCAAATCCATGAATGATCAAATCCACAAAAGTCAGAATCACAAGTATGGAGGACCCATTGCACAGGTTTTAGCCTTTCCAAAATGCAGCAGCAATAGCTCTGATGCAATCTTAAAGAAGTTTCACAAACTACCAACATGCTTCTGGATTCAAAGTGCAAGTAAAAACATTCAAAGTTCTAAACAGAAGGGATGGAAGCAGTAATCAGAAATATTTTGGAAATGATTGAAAATGTATTTCTTGAGTGTTAGATACTCTGATAAAAAGAATTCTGGACTGATAAGAATCTTCAAACTTTAGGACGCCCACTAATTTCACACATGGTTGTTTTGTAAAGAAAACCATATAATGTTGTTTCTGAACAAAAAGTTGCCTTCCACGCAAAAATGTGTTTTGAAAATGTTATGCAGAATAAATCTGAAATAGCAAATAGTCTCCAAAAACTGTGCACTTTTTGAAGACTTTCTGACATTTTGAAGAAAATTGCTATAATTATTCATTAATTTTCATCCTTGAGGTGAAATTTAGGAATAGTCGCATCTCTGCAAAACACCTTGGAGCCCAAACATTTGAAAGACCATTTTCTGAAAGAGGTTTACATCTTCTGAAGGAATAAGTCTGCAGAAGATGTCCTCCACTCCCTCCCCTCTCCAATGGGAGCAATACTCTGTAGAAGGTCCTCCTTCGTTGTGTTGCCACATATATGAAATCCAATTGAAAACCAAGCTAGAATCAAACTTGGCTTCATCCCAACACAAAACTAAAACATGACTTTTTATTATGACCTTCAGAAACTCTTTTAGTTTTTTAAGCTTTTAAAAACTTTAAAAGAAATGATTAATATGCTTTTAGTTACATTTAATTGTTGTTATATGTCAAAGATGTTACAAACATTAATGCTTTAAATTTTATTCTCTAGGTTTCTTCAGAACCTCCTGATAGCCTAAAAAATGGATCTGTTACGATCCAGCCTGTACAGACTGATGTCTTAGCAAATGGCAACACAGGTATGTCCTGGACAGGAAAGCCCACCCCCTCCATTTGTACTGTCTACTCTAGTATAATTATGGCAGTGATCTATTGGTAAAATGAAGGTTGTGTTATTATGGGCAGTATAACTTAGCCTGAAGTATTTTGACCTGGAACTGGTTGCAAGTCTGGATTTTATTAGTGGATTTTAACTTGAATTTTATCTTTGTGTATCTTGTTGTATGTCTTTTAATAGTGCTTCATCTCTTGTTTTAATGATCTTGTATCCCACCTCAAGCTGCAGAGAAAGGCAGAAAATAATAATAATAATAATAATAATTATTATTATTATTAAGTACTGGAAACTGGTGCTCCACCTTTTTATAGGAAGACACAGGCAGAGGGGAGTAATAAATTTATTGTTGTTATTACTATTACATAATGGTAAAATGACAGTACATATGGTGTAGAGCAGAGGAACCATAATGGTCTTTTAGATAATGGCTTCTAGCATCTCCTGCAGCAAATAGTATAAATGGAGCCCTAGGCAACTAATTCTCCACAGATAGTCCCAGAGCTAAAATTCCAATGACTGAGTCATACATTTCCTAGGTTGGTGTACACTCCCTCCAACTAGGGTGAGACCAATGAATTATAGGATTGATTGTTCTTAAACATAATGCAACACCCAACAACTGATACTAGCTTTCACTGCACCATTCCTACTTCATTCCGTGTGGGGATATGGGAGTTGTACTGTAGCACATTGGTAGGGCATTCAGAGAAAGCTGATTGAAAGTGACAAATAAAATAGCCCTTTTGTATCCTGCATGGGAGAATAGGAGGATACCAATCAATCAAATTGAATTAATGTTCTGAATGTACAAATTTCCTGGGGAGAAAAACATATTTGTCCTTAATTGTCCAAAGAATGCAAATCAGATGAAAAAGGAGGGAAAATCTGAAATATGCAAGTTCCTAGCTATGATCTTGGAGAGTTGTGGCTTAAGGTGACTTCAGCAAAGGCCAAATGCATATGGGAAGTGCACTATTTTAGGTGACAGGTGTGATCTAATCTGATGGTTACTACAATGTTCCCCAAGCAGTAGGCAAACATAATATTGTTTCTGCTCATTTTGTCATATCTTCTTTTTGGATCCCAACCAGTATTCAGACAATCCTGTCCACCGCTCATATAGCTTATCTCTTCACCTTGACTTTAGGCAATCTTTCTTCCAACCTTCATCCTCCAGCAACTGTTATCAGAACTGAACTTGTTATCCCATCACTGTTCAATGTCTATTCCTAGTCACACATAAAACCTGCTTATTCATAGGTATAAATATCTGTTTCTAAGCACGTCACACCATGCTTCTGATGGATTAGATTTAGTCTACAAAAGCTCATGCCACCCACTTCTTTCTCTTAGTCTCAGTGACACTAAAAGATCATTTGCACACTGATCCAGATTAACATAGCCATGTCTTTGAATAATATACTTCAGTGAATCAGCTACTACTGCTGAGCAGCTCTAAATGATTGTTATGTGTATACTAATTGTGTTTGTCAGATACATGTAGACACAAGGTGTGTATCTTAGATCAGTTAGATCATGCTCTAAAACAATATATGTACTTTTCTGTGCTAGACAGTTTTAAAGTTTACATTTTCCTACACCTATGAAAATCTGGGCTATTTATCTTCATCATTTTACAGTTGAGACATTTATATAACTAGAAACGTGTAAATCATATAAATTGTGAGGCATTGCATATATGTGAATAGAATAGATATATACTGGGAGCCAAAAAAGACTGTGAACTGGACAGTTGGAATAAATAACCATGAGATAAAACCAAGGAAGACCAAATCGGCATGATTCACCAGAGGTCTTTAGGTAATACCTGCTAGTTGGTGTGTAGCATTGTTTCTGCATGACTCCATTGGTTAGTCTACAAAGGTGTGTATTTATTTAAGATTGGTGTAGAGATATAAATATTCAACTTTTCTATCCTCAAAAGTAAGGATGAATTATTTACACCATTTTCTCCCTGATGTAAAGAGAATTTCAGCAGGTGGTCTTTCCCAAACAACTCAATAAAAAGCACCAACTGTCAAAATCTCCTTTTCTACACTATCATTAAAGGTGCAGGAGTCCTTTCTAGTTTTCTCTATTGCAATCTTGAGATAAAATAAGAAATAAAAGAAATAACCATGCCTAGGTTTCAAGTTTTGGTCTAGAAACCTTAGGACATAGAGTGATCCTGAGCTGGCAGCCCTGTCCACACTGTGGTGTGGCTAAAATGTGGAGATCACATTTGGTTTCCGAGGGCTGTTTTAGGTCCATGCTCCACCCAACACCTTTGATGCATCCCTTGACTCAGCACCCAGAAATTGTTTCTTGTTGTTTCAGGGGGCTTCTATTAGTAGTGGTTTTTTTTTTACTTAATATAGGATGTTGCAGACATGCCCCTCCCCCCAAAAAAATAATCTGGTTATTTTTTAATGAAAGTAATCTTTCAACTATTTTTTGTCTTTTTTAAAAAACAAATGTAGCATTTATGAGCCTGTTAAAACCATAAATGGATACTGCGAATAGAAACCTTAAACCCAAGTTGTTAGATATTGACCACCCAGTACTACACCTTAGAGAAGGTGCTGGACGTATGTCCTTCCAGATATTGTTGGACTCCAGATACCATCAGCCCTAGCAGTAGTACAAAAGTAGTTTATTGACATCTTGAGCCCCACATATTCTCTTACACTTGCTTGAGAAGAAAAGGCAGTTCAGTTTAGGGTTTGCCTAAAATCACCAAATTCCATCCTTGAAGCTAAGCTATCCTAAGCTGCTGTCCCGTGTTGTCCCAAAGTAGAAAGTGCAGCTCAGACAAAATTTATTTAAATGTTGATTTTCCACAGAATTTTCTTACAAAGAGACATTAAGGGGATAACTTTTTTGTTTCAAAAAAGTCCAACTTGTTGCTACAGTGTTGAATATAAACCCAGTCCTGCTGAGCCTTGCTCATTTTTTCTTGTCTGCACATACTTGTCTAGGTTCTGTGTACAGTCCATAGGTGGAGGTGCTGTTTTTAGTTCCAAAACCTGATATGTCAATATCATGTGTAAGTTGTGGGTGTTAGCTCAAAGTGATTGATGTTGTTTGATTTGGTTCTGAGTAATTTAGAACTTGATTTGTCACTCCTGAGCTCTGCCCTGGTTTCTCTACCAAAAAGAGAGAAAGTGTGTTTGTCTGTCTTCTTCTTGTGTATTCTGTTACACAATCTGGCATTCACAATGAGCTTTCTTTAGCCATGGTGAACATGGAATTATAGAATCATAGAACTGGGAGGGGGCTCTATGGGCCATAGCTTCCGATTCCCTGCTAAGTTCAACAGCAAGAACATCCCCACTGGGTTCAGCCTTTTTGAAAACATTCAGAGAAGGAGACCCCACCACCACTCTAAGCAATTGGTTCTACATTCCCCAAATTTTCTGTGTTAAATGTTAGAGACTATGTGCGATCCATAAGATTTCTTTTTAAAAAAATCTTCCCAGCCCCCCCCCCCCCAAATGAAAATTGATTATGACTGATCCTTGTATAAGATTGAAGTATTTATTTCTGGTTCTGCAGAAAAGACAGGCAGAATGATTCAGTAGATGATCAGAGAGTGAGAAATTTCTAATTATATCCCCCTTTTTCCTTCTTTATCTTATCCCTCCTTTTCTTTCTTTATCTCCCCCTCCCCGTTATCTAGTTGATCCTATGTCTGTTTTCCCAGCACCCTGCTTGATGTTATGTATCCAGCAGAATATTTAAATAAAGGGTGTAGCAAAGTGGCTAAACTAGAATAACAAAAGCAGACTGAATACCCAGCCTATCGAAATCATCTGCAGGGCCCTTGTGTCCAGAAAGTCATATTTCCAGGCTTTTGATGAACATGGACATAATGTTGGGGGGCAGTGCTCTGTCTTGTGTCATGATATTGCACCTAAAGGATCTGATCAAATCTAACAGAAATTAGGGCAGACATTTAGCCTCAGGGTCATGTCCAGAACAACTATCCCTGGTGTCACATGTGTTCCATAAAACTGTTTCTGCAGTACTTTAGCTCATAGGCTCACAGACTTGGACTGATTCTGGCCGAGAGAGAGAGAGTCAAGTTCTTTCTGAGGGGTGCAGTTATGGGGAGAAGTTAAATAAAGGCATTGCACCCTCATCAAGAATTCTATGATTAGAGCTTTGCCATAATCTGGGCAACACAGCAGGGGCTAGAGTAGCCCTTTCAGGCAAACAAAGGGTTAATGAAGTTTTGGGTTTAAAGTTACATTTATTACGGGGAGTGTTGGAGGAATGCAACAGAAACCATAAGAAATTACTGACCAGTGAGACAACACACTTTGAGATATTTCTGTGACAAGGTCATTAATAATGCCCCAAGGGCCACAAAGTGATGCACACACAGAGAGAACAAAGGGTGCATCCATACTGTTGAATGCAGTTTGGAAAGGTAAAAGCACTCTTTGGCAGAAAACTCTCAAACTTAGAAAACCCCATGGATAGGATCATATTAAGCTGATCACAGTAAGCTGAAAATGCCTTGAAGGCGTATTACAACAAATGGTCACATTTAGATGCAAACTGTGATGTTCAGACTTTATTACATCATTTTATTTACATCCCATCTTTTTCCTAGAGAGATAGAATACAATATATATATATAGAGAGAGAGAGAGAGGGAGAAATACTCAAGATTAAAACAGTTTTAAATTGCAACAATATTAAGACCAATTAAAATATTACTTTAAAGCAGACAGCTGCGAAGAATGATATAAAGGTTCTTTGTGGTACCATGAACTTTTGAAAAAAGCAAAAGAGAAAGGGGTGGTTAAAGGGTGCTTTACATTGAAATTTCCAGGAAGAGTGGATAAAGCCTAATTATTTGGAGAAGTTAACATCTAAGATTATTCATTATGAAGTAGAACAATTGAGTTCTTGTTTTTCATTTCCCCTTGCTTATTTCCCCTATTACCTGGGATCTCCCAAATATCTAATACCATTCTTCATGGAGACAAGTTTATATTGTTTCTGGTCAGAAAGATCTTCCTCTTGCATACAGAAATGTTACTTTAGCAAATCAAAGAATACCTGTCAATATTCAAAAGATCTTTTGTCGGATATTTTAAGGAACCTGCTATCCTGAACTCAAAGTATAATTTGTATGATTATACATCTTATACAATTGTCATGACCTAAAATGAGTCAATGAAAAACTAGCATCAGGAAGTTACTGTTTTGTTAAGTTTGTCCGGAAAGAATAAAAGGAGTGAGACATACTCCACAGGGCATGCAAAGACAATGCATCACACATATTCTTAAAGTCTTACAAATTATATAGTAAGATCTTCCTTTTATACCTGACATCCTATGACATGATGCAGTATCACCATGTCGTGAAAACATGGGCCATTTAAAGACAACCAAAGACAACATACAAATACATCCAAAACCCACAAAGCAGTTGTATTTTTATTGGGCAAACTAAAAGGAACAAATACATCATGCAAGCTTTCAAAGCTTCATTGGGTATTTTTCATCAGCAAGGATGTTAAAAATCATACAGAAGAAGAAAGGTGAAGATGATTTTTAACATCTTTGCCTGATGAAGAAGTCAGCGAAGCTTCAAAAACCTGCATTATGAGTTCTGACCAATCAGTTAACCTTACTTTTTTCCATTGTTTCTTGTCATCGCAGTGGTTATGGAGCTGCACAGAGCTTCTGGCCATCACTGAGCATCTTACTTGATGTCAGCAAAGTTACTCACATGACCTGGGCAAAGTGCAGGGAAAATGGAACTGCACTAGCCTGTGTGAACAGCTCGACTGGTTTGAATTAGAACTGATCCAGTTATTCACACAAACCCTGAAGTGCAAGGCTGCACAGGAGTTTAAGGAAAGCTCCGGAGCATTTCCCGTCTTCTGCTAATGTAGCATAAAATTGGGATAACCAGTTTTGCCCTCCATTAGGGCAAACATCCCTAAATGTTGTGTAGACATCCAGGAGTGGTTTCTGGTCCAAATTGGAGCATGTGATCCATGTAGATATGTCCCTAATTATCTCGGAATATGTTTCAATGATAACATGGAGGCTTTTGGCAACCTTAACTTCTCCTGTAACTTTACACTTTGTAAAGAGAATGGCACGTACACACTATGTTTGTTTCAACACTGCAATTTGCAACCAGTCCATTACAATCAGTCCATTAAACACCCGGGCAGCTATGATTAATAGTGCATCTTTCCTGTCATGTGGGATAATTGCTGTTTTCTTGTTTGCACTTGTAGTGGATGCAAAAGTGACTGTTCTCCAGGATAATGCGGCTATTTCTTCCCAGAAGACAATGGAGATCAGCACCGTCTCTGAGGGCAATGAAAATAATCTTGGGAAGGAGGCCAAGGCTCCGCCGCCAGCTGCCAAATCTCGTTTTAGCTTTTCATTTTCACGGCCCGTACCAGGACGTAATGTAGTGGAGGCGACAAATTCATCCGTTGGACCAACTAAACTTGATGTCAGCTCAGAAGTCCTCAGTGAAAACAAAGCATCAAGTGAGAACCCAGGCCTTCCTGCTGCAGCTGTGGCAGAGGAAGCTTCAAATAAAAACCTAAATGAGACATCACTCAGTGAAATTGAACTCACAGAACCGGACAAGAGAGAGGATGATACTGTTCCCAAGCCCAAAGAGATAAGCTTTTTTGAGCGTATCTTCAAATTGGAAAAGGGGAAAGAAAAGAAGAAAGCCCAAGAAGAAATCCAAAAGGAGGATGAAGTAGACAATCCAGGCGTACTCATCACAGCACAAGAGACATCCGGATTACAAAGCACCCCAGATAATATTCTTCAAGGAACGGCAAGTATATAATTGCAATGTCTATTTGATTCCTTAATAAGTTTATTAAAATTGCATGAGGATATGGACTTCACATCAAACACATGGGAGAGCAAATCTTTCATGAGTGTGGCTGAGCAGTTACCTATTGTGAGTGAACAATAAAATTTGCTATAGTTTTAAATCAGGCACTGTTGATTGTTAGTGCCTGATTTATGCAGAATATAAGCAGAAACATCTCTACTTTCTTAAAGTATCTCTACCTTTCTTAAGAACAGATAAGAAACAAAGCATTAGGAATAACAGACTCTAAAAGACATATGGCTTTACTGTAACAGAAGTTGAGTATCTCTTATTCAGAGTTCCAAAATACTCCCAAATTGCCCGTGTGTGGCTGAGAGAGTTATATCTTGGCTTTTTAATAGTTCAATGTACACAAACATTGTTTTGTGCACAAAACTGTTGTATATAAAATTACATTCACCATGTGTGTGTGTATGTGTGTGTGTGTGTGTGTGTGTGTATATGAAAAATAAATAAATGTTGTGTTTAGACTTGAGCCCCCTTTCCTAGATGACTCATTATGTATATGCATGTATTCCAAAATTTGAAAAAAGCTAAAATATGGAACATTTCCAGTTCAAAGCATTGTGAATAAGAAGTACTCACTCTGTACATATTTTGTTATATTTTTGCTTTTTAGATATTTCCTCCCATATGCATTGGAATATTTAGAAGTGCAACATTTGTTCTGTTTCTGTTTTCATAGCCTTTTATGTAAGACTCATCCCAGGATATCAAAAAGTTACTGCTGTACTGTTGTTATATATCTTCAAGATTTTTTCCCCAAATTTATGATAATCCTACCATCAGTATTTCTTGGCAAGATTTATTCAGAGGAGGTGGAAGGAACATGAGCCAGTGGATTACATGTCTGATCAGCGATTCAGGCTTTAGACTCTTGGAGGCCTAGTCCAATAATCAAGCTAGCACACCAGACTGGCGGACAGCCCTCCAGCCAAGATGGTCATGAAAGCTAGAAGGTATGGGCAAATGTACTAGTTGCAGAGTTACGTTTTTGCCACTACAGACCCATAGCAGGCCATGCTTATTTGACCTCTGGAGTTTTTATTATTACTTAGTTTAGAAGTAGGATTCAGGCAGGTGCCTACAGATAAACTTCTACTCTCTGATATTGCTTATTTTATGGTTTGCTTTCCAGTTAGCTTTCAGTCATTGCAACCACATGAATTGGAAACCTTCAAGAGCCTTGGTCATCAACAGCCCTGCTCAGATCTTGCAAACTCAGGGAAGCAATGGCTTCATTTATGGAAAGTTGATCTACACTGTAGAATGAATCAAGTTTGACACTTAAGTTAACTGTCATGGATCAATGCTATGGAATTCTAGGAGTTATAGTTTGGTGAGACACCAGCACCAGACTAAAAACCGTGTAAAGCTACAATTCCCACAATTTTGTGGCAGTTAAAGTGATGACAACTTGTATTAATTCTAGAATGTAGATGCATCTTCACATTGAGTCATGTCATCTCAAGATATGTCCAAATCATGAGAGCATTTTAATCTAGCCCTGTGATGGTCTTAGTAACTGTGTTCTCACTGTTGACCCAGAAGGGACATTTGACTCGCAGAGCAATACTACAGGATTGCAACAATTTTGCAGAATTGGCTATCATGTTTCCTCTCAACAGTTTCTTCTGCAGGCTAAACATCCCCAGCTCTTTAAACCAGTCCTCATAGGGCAGATGTTTGATCATTTTAGTCACCCTCCTCTAGACATGTTCCAGCTTGTCAATATTTCTCTTGCATTGTGATGTACAGAACAGGACATGTTATTTCAAGCGATATTTTACCAAAGCAGAATAGAGGGGCACAATTACTTCCCTTGATCCAGGCGCTATACTCCTTTTGATCACCTCAAAATCTCATTGGCTTTTTAAGCTACTGCGTCACATTGTTGGCTCACATTCAACTTGCAGTCTACTAAGATTCCAAGATCTCTTTGACATATACTATTGTTGAGCCAGGTTTCACCCATCCTGTATCTGTGTATTTCACAAAAATGTTTTGAAAAATCCACTCCTACTTTATCCTACTATTTTCTGTGGGTTTAAAATGCTGACTTTTGAGAACGCCAGCAGTAGAACCTGGTGGATTCAGATAGACCCCTGTGGCAGACGCAAAACCACCATCTGATTGTGCAAACAGAAAAAGTAGTCCATTACAAAAAAAAAAGGTTCAGGCCACTTTTTATAATAAATACATTTTATTTTCATGTTGCTGCATTCCTTCATGTACAGTACATGGACACCTTGATATTCTTAGTAGACTATGTGCTTTTCAGTGCCAATATGTTGTCTGGATGCAGAGTTCATCCACCGATTCCCTGTGTCATATGTTGCCAGATCTCTAGTTTGTCACAGCTATTTTGTTGAAGGCCGCATCTATATTGGCTGCTTTACCTAGAGCTAGTCTGGAACATAATGCCCCAGATAGACCATGATGGCAGCCAGATGCAATGGGCCAAACCATCTGGGGCACTGCGTTGGCATCCAGACAGATCTGACAGGCTACAGATTGGCCATAATGGTGGTCAGTTGCATCCAGCCAAATCATTTGTGTCATTGCATTGATGTCTACTGTCTAGCCAGTCCAATCAGTCTGCTGGGCTGCCCCCTTGTCTTGCCATCATTCCTTACTGGCCTATAAGTCCTACCCGTCGAGTTTGCATGTACTGAAGTCATAATCTGGTGACCGCACAACCAGTAAGAAGAGCATAGAGTGATCCTTTCCCCTCTCCTTTTGAGAAGCATGAAGAATCTTGTGTACATTTCTGGAATCAGTCATATGGATGCACATGAATATAGTATTTGGGCTGCTCCCCTTCATTCACAATGAATTGCGTATCTATTCAGATAAACTGGACTTTTTTGTTTTTTAAACATTTTCCCAATTCCTTTCCCAGACATAATTTGCTAAGGTTTTATCCTGGAAAACAAAGTTGTTATTAAGTTCTGGTCCTGTCACCCTCTTTTGGGCTGTCCAGAGGGCAGGAAGCACAATTTCTGATTTAAATGGATGCTATATTTATACTGGAACTCTAAATATTTGGTCTAATATATGATAATTATAATTATCCAGATTTTGCTTCAGGCACACATTACTCTTTGAGTAAGCCATGACTGATATCTTCTGTGGGAGCTAAATCACATCAAAGCTTTTCCCGCATGTCACAATGCCAACAAACAACAAGTAGTGTTGCTTTGAGGAGGAGAAAAGAGGAGAGAGGCTTCCATTTTAAGTTTTGGTCCCAAGAATTACACAGTCATTCTGTGTTTGCCTGAACCAGGGCCCTATTTTCAGTCTCCACAAAACTACATTCAGGAAGCTGCATAATTTAAACAAGGGTAGGATTCATGAGTTGAATGAAGAATTGACTATTCAAGCCAAGGTAAATGATGTGCCTGAAATGTGCACTGATTCTGCCAGGCTTTATGGGAACACAGAAGTCCTAGAAGGGAGATACAGTATGTCTCTGGGTCATAAGATGACAGAACTGATACCAATGTGTATGCATTTCATAATGACTGCATTAAATCTACCATGAGAATATTTAATGTTTAATGCTGATCTCCTTCTCCTGTGCTATTTTTTTTTAAAGATATAACCACGCAGCAAAACTTGAATTAATTTCATAATGCTTGTCTGTCTCTGAAAGAGAATTTGGAAACATTACTTTAAAAAAAAGTAACTCATTGCTCACAGGTAATGTATGGCCCTGTCACTGCTTTTTAAATTATCTTTAAGAATACAATTTTAAGAATCAACCCCGATGGTAGTACTTTAACATAATAAGTAAACATGGCATTGTGTAGACTTTGGGAGATTTTAATCATTCTGGTTTAAATGCATAAAAGTAACAATGTTGGCCCACAATACTTAAAAAGTGTCCCAAGTAATATATTACTTTCAATTCATTTTCCCAGACTGATATAACACAGGTAGTTCCTGATATTCTCAACGTAAATTAGTTTCCTAATATGTGTGCTAGTTTCCTGATTATTTCAAAATAGTCGACACTCCAAGAGTAAGGGTTACAATGTGATTCTGCCATGTAGTTTTTCAGTTGTAAATCCTGTTCTTCCTCCTCCATCCAATTTTTCTAATTTTTTCCATGAACTTCATCATATAGAAGCTCTACCCTGTTTCTTCCTGCTTCTGCACACTTCAAAGAAGGTGTTCAAATGAGAGGGAACCCATCAAACAACACAGGACTGCTTCTGGTTGTTACTCATGGGACTCTAGTCTCTGCAGCGTGTAGAAACAGGAAGATTTAAAAGATGGGCAGAAACTGACTCCATTGCTTTCCCTATGCATAAAAGATTAAGGTTTCCCCTCGACATTAAGTCTAGTCATGTCCGATTCTAGAGGGTGATGCTCGTCTCCATTTCTAAGCTTGTCCCGGAAACCTTGAAAGTCATGTGGCCAGCATGACTGCATGGAGTGCTGTTACCTTCCCGTCAAAGCGGTACCTATTGATCTACCCACATTTGCATGTTTTCGAATAGCTAGGTTGGCAGAAGCTCACCCCGCTCCCTGGATTTGAACTACTGACCTTTTGGTCAGCAAGTTCAGCAGCTCAGTGGTTTAACCCATTATGCCACTGGAGGCTTAAAAGTGGGTATTTTTCCTTGTGATAGGAGGTGGTGAATTTGTCCAATTACTTTGTGATGTTTCAGTGTGATCGTTCATGGGGGTGGCGTGCTACTGCTTTTTTTGTTTCCATTAGTGGTGTAAGGTGGTTCGATCCCATTGAAATAAGGGTGTTCTTAAAATGTGCCTTTAATATACTTGGCTTCAGGGATATAACCTCATGGAAAGTTGTATCTTGAAAAAGAAAGCATGCCTGACTTCTTTAGTATAGGTCTCAGGTGAACGACCCCATGGAAAATTGTGTCTCAAAAAGGATGTCTGTTTAAAAAATTGTGCTGTTATCCTTG